GGGGGGTCGAGGGATTAGCCCCTCCCGCCTGGCGGCAGCCAAAGGCGGAAGAACGCGAGCCTGGGGCGGAGCTCCTTGAGCGGGGCGGGGCGGGCGGAGTGCCTCGGCGGAGGGGCCCGGCGGGAACAAACAGCCGCCGCCGCGGGAGCGCGGCTCGGGTGGCCAGAGGCGGGTCCTCCTCTTCCCCGCAGACTCCTCAAACTTTCAGTTCCCTGGAGCCGCTGCCCTCAGTGCGCTCAGCCCTGGATGTTAAGGTTCACGGGGACGCCAGCAGGAGCCCGGAGCAGTAGCGAGAGTCCCCACCCATTATCTCCCCAAGGCAGTGCCCGGGCCACTAAGGCCGAAGCGCAGTTGGCGCGCCAGCGGAGCCTCAGACGCCGGGACCGACGCCGCCGGAGTGGGGCCTGCCGGAGCCGGAGTGGCTTCCGGACCAAGAGGAGACGCACTTGAGTGATCGCGAGGAGCAAACTTGGCGTTCTCAGCCTCGGTCTTCGGAGAGGTGAGAGATTCCGGCTGCGCCCCTCTCCTCCCCTCCAAGGCCAGGACCCAGCCACCCATCCCTTTGCCTCGCCGCAGGACTCCAGATGTGGTAATGTGTGCGGGGAGACCCAAGGAGCGCGCCGCCTGCCCGAAGCCCGCTTCCCCAAGCTTCTTTGGGGCGCTTTGATCGCATTTCGGGAGCGCGGACCCGTCCATCTCTCTTGAGTTTGCCTGTATCCGACCTTTTTCTGTCTTGGTATCCGTTTGTCTAACTCAGGCTCTGTGATTCTGTGTTTCTCTCACCCTCGGTGAATCTCTGCTTCTATTTCCTACGGAAACCCTGCATTTGTTTGGATGTCTGTTCGTGAATCTGAGAATCCCTCACTCAGTTTCTCCGTTTCTCCCACCATCAGACGCACGGCAGGACCCCCACCCTTCCCCCACCCTTTTCTGGCTGGACTTGTAGGCTATACAGACAGCAGGACCCCCACGGAGACCTCCCTCAATGAACCCTGACCTCAGACGCAAGCCAGTGTTGCCTTCATCTTTCAGGATCCTGTGCACACAGTGTTGGTCCTGTGCCCTTTTTTCTTACCAGCTGGGTTCCTGCCCATGCCGTTAGGCCTCCTTCTCCCCTGGCCTCCCTCCAGGAACCCAGCAACTAGTAGCTCCAGCTCAGACTGGGTCCATCGCAACCTCTGGGGGTGACAGGGGAAATGGCCACTGGAATTGGTCAAGTACTGAGCGGATGGATGGGCTGCTGCCCCAACAGCGCCCCGCAGTGGTCAAAGGTCCAGTATGCGAGGCCCGAGACCCAGCTTCGCTCAGCTGTCACAGGCTGTAGGACAGTCAGCAAGTTACTTCCCTTGTCAGCCTGTTTCCTGCTCTATATATAGTAGTTAAGAGCAAAGACCCTGAAGCCGGGCTGCTGGGATCCCAGTCCTGGCTTCACCACTTACCCGCTTTGTAATATCTTTCTGTAACTTTGCACCTCTGTTTCTTCCTCTGTAAAAGTGAGGTTAAAAGCATCCATGTCATAAGTAATGTGTAAAAGTAGCCATATTACTATAGACTACTTACAAAGAGGATATTGAGGGCACTTTGCTGACTCCTGGGAAGAGAGAAGGGGGTTGGGGGTAGTGTAGTCTTTCACCAGGATCTCAAACCCTGGACTAGCCTTCGGCTGGGTTACTGCTGCTGTCTAATCCTCTCCAGTCACTATGCTGAGTAGGTCCCCTGTAGCTAAGTCCTGGGAGCGGGCAGGAGGGGATTTGTAGCCCCTGTAGGCTACATCTCAGTAGGGCATGTGAGGGTAGATGAAATCTCCCTTTTATCCAACAGCAGCCTCCAACCTAGTGTATTCCACAGGTTGGGCAACAGACACCCGGAGTGGAGGAGCAGGGAATCACCTAGTCTTCTGCAACATGACAGAGCAAGGCCAGGTGCAACTCTTGTCACGGAATTCTCATGAAAGGTTCTGCATCCTCCCCAGCCATCTAGCTAAGAGCAGAAAGAGTGGAAGGCAGGTCTGGATATTCATATCCTATGAGAGCAAGTCTGCTGCCCCCCCTCTTCTGGGACCTCAGACCAAAGGGATCCCCGGAGTGTGCTGGGTCTGCATAAGTAGACTGTCCTTGGGAGAAAAAGAGGTCCAGTCCTCAAACCATGGCCAGGAAATTAGACAGGGACCAGTGGCCCTGGAATCAGAATTTCCAGATGATAGGACCCTCCAGGAAAAAAGAAAAAAAGGCCTTGGAGAGAAATATTTTGCATGAGTCCAAATAGACTCACACTTCCAGGGTTGCTGAATTTAGCAGATTTATTTTACCTGGCAAACCTGTGCCTACAACAAGCTTGCTAATTACTACATGGAGTTCTCTCTGACACTCGCAGACACCCCACATCATCCACCACACACACCCCAGCTCCAACCCAGCTCAGCTCTGCTAATGTCTAAGTAAGTGGAGAGAAAACAGCACTGGCATCATTTCAGCTCCATCTCACTTTCTGAATGTCTTCATTTTTAAAATGGCAAATGTGAACCAGTAGCTTCTTTCCTTTCCAGCACTCTCCTGGTTCCCCAGGCTAAAGCCCCCTGCCCAAGTTCAGGGTAAGACTGACTGAGGCATTTACTGACGAAATATCCTGGTTCTAATGCTCCAGAAAAGACTCTATGGAGCAGCTGCAGCCACCATCCCCCACCTCTGCTTGGCCCTGCTGCACACTCTGTGCTCCTGAGACCCAGGTCAAGGGAAGGGGATTACGCCCCCTCCACCCCTGCTTACATGGAATTCTTAAAGAATCAACCAGATTCTTCAGAACACACACAGTTGTTCTAGGAGTGGAAACTGAGGCCCAGGAGATCATGTGACTTGCTAGGCTTCTGAAGGGCCCTGGGTTGGGCTGGACCCATGTATACAGACTCCCAGCCTAGGGCTCCTATTTACCAAATAACTCTTCTTAACCCCTGTTGGAGCTCCACTCTTGCCTGTGGGAGAAGTGTTTCTGGGAGCCTCTCAGCCATCCCAAGACTCTGGGCAAATTTGATTTTTAACAATGCCAGGAGTAGAAGCACTAAGGCTAGGAGAAGGGCATCCCACATTCGGGATTCGTTTAGTTTCCTGCCATTCTCCCATGGCTCCAGTCTTTCCTGACTGTAGGCTCAGCCTCTTTGACGTCTTCGAGTCTTGTCTGCCACTCCCCTCCACGAAAAAGTGGATGCTCCCCCGGAAGCCTGGGCTCTAGCGCCCATGCCTGCAGCCTCCAAGATGCAGAAGGTGACTGACTGCGGGTCTTGGTTATAGTGTCACTGGTAGTTCCCGGCCTCCCTCTTCCTCTGTCTCACTATTTAGCCACCTCCCTCGATCAACCCAGAAACGATTGGAATGAAGCACTGGGGGGGGGGGCGTGTTTAGGGGTTATCCCCTCAAAAATGTTCGGAGCACCGGGGAGAAGTCGATTCGTGTTTATTGCAATGTGTTGCTACCGATGGCGTCCCTTCCCTTATGGCTCCTCCCTTCCCTTCTGGTCCCTGTCGACGTGCTGTTCTCCCCAGCTCGCGGGAAAGGAGGGCTCTCGGATAATTATAAGAATATAATTAAGTCAATTGCGAAACCGGCCAAGAGTGGCGCTGAGCTAGCTAGAGGCAGGGTTGCGGCGCGAAGGTCTTCCGCGGCCTTTCCACGGTTCCAGCCCGGTGAGCGCAGAGGTCCGCCCCCGGTGCAGCCCGGCTGCATAGTGCCGCCTGAGGACCCCGCAGCTGCACACGTCTCTAGTTTATTCACAAACCCAGCCAGCCTCGGGAAAGAGGCGGCACCCGCGCAGCCACCCCCTTTTCCAGCCCCTCCGCGGGGCCGCAGCTCTGGAGCGAGATGGTTGTTCGGCCGCAGTGGGTCCATTTCCCGACCCCTTTCTCCTCCAGATCTTCGCCTGCTCAAGAGCGATCGGCTCCGTTGGCCCCGGGTGGGAAGAGGGAGACTCCAGATCGTGTGACCTGCAGGAGCGATGCGGCGGGGCTCCCCACACGCGGGAGCAGGACTCGGGGTTAAGAGTTTAGGGAGAGGCCGGCCTCTCTGCAAGCACAGAAATGGCAGTGCCTCCGGTGTGTCCACTTTCACCTTGAGCCCACCTGCCCAGCCCAGGCACCGGCTCAGGGGTCAGCGCCTCTACACCTCTCGGAGGAAATGTCTTTCTCCCCTTCCCGTGTGCATGGCCACTGCCCCAGGTCTATGTGGTGGGGGCTCGCAGGAGCACCCTCAAGCGCCTTCACTGCGCAGTGGCCGGACCAGGGCGCTGCGAAGCCTGTGCACTCTTGTTCGTTCGCGGGAAGAGGGTTGCAGGTTCAGGAGAAGGTGGAAATAGTTCCGCTCCCACAAGCACCCGACCTGGGACGCCGGCTTTCTCAGCAACTGCGGCAAGGCAGGCCCCATGCGCTTATGAGATATGCCGCTGGGGCAGGGGAGTTGGGGACGCTTCCAGGTGTGTCGGGACGTGGGCCTCAGGTCTAAATGCTCTGCTAAGTACGTCCTGGTTCCTGGTCCACGCGAGTGTTTCTGCGCCTCCGGGCCACAGTGGCTCTGTGCCCGAGTATGTCCCTGAGCGACCGGCGCCCTTGCGGGGTCCTCCCCTCCCGACCGCACATCTGTGCAGGGGACAGCCCTGGAAGGCTCGCCAGCCAGGACCACAGCTTCACCTCGGGCGGGGCCTGATAGGGCGCGACTTGTTCGGGGATTCCAGACCCGCTCCGGGCCGCGGCGTGACCCCGGCGGGGAAGGAGGATGTGAGTGTGTGAGCCTGGGCAGAGGACTGCGCCGTGGCGTGAGAGGGAGGAGGGGTTACAGGAGCCTTTTGTGGAGAAGCTGGAAAGACTAACGGCGCTAACTCCTTCCTACCAATTCCGCGCAGCTTGCTGGGGCAGCAGTGCCTCAGGAACGGGACGGCCTTCCACAGCCCTGAATTGGAGCCAGAGGTGCAGAGCCATGTGAACCTGGTCCCCTACGCTACACACACAGACACACGCGCGCGCGCGCGCGCGCGCGCGCGATTTAGCCTTTCGGAGCCCCAGGCAGGGTAACTGGTGAGGCCATAAGTCCCCGCTCAGGCGAGGAAATACTGCCGGCGCCTGAGCCCGCTGCAGCTGCTGCGGAGCCGCGTAAGCCCCACCAAAGCGGAGCGAGGGGACCACGGGAGTCCCGTCCCTGCCGCGAAGACGCTGGTGACGGATTCTTGGGAAACAGCGACCCCTGGAGGAGCCTCGAAACCACACGAAGAGGCAGGAACTGGATGACTAGGTCGGGGACCAGTGTCCCTTCCCCAACCCACTCCTTTGAAAATCATCCAGAGACTCATTACCTCAGGATTCCTCTTTGTGCATACTTGCTTCCTTTCCCAGTCCGTACCTAGGCCTCAAATCCTAGCTTAGAATCCCGACTTCTCCAGAAAGGAGCCTTCTTGAAAGCCCAATTCATCTTCCCGTCTTCCTACTTTGAGCTCCTCAGAACCTAAAGCCTGAACTCGACTCTAGAGCTAACAGCACTAGCAACCTGCTTTCTGCCTCCCTTTCTCCAAAGAGACCATTGGTCCATCCACTCCACTCATCCTTTGCATTCCATGCTGGATGTGTTCTCCAACCACCCTCATCCTTGCCACTACCAGTAAAGAATGGAAGTCATTTATTCCAAAATTGGACTGTAGGTTTTCAAAGTTAGTTTCAAAGATGGGTAAATTGAGACCCAGACCGAGGACTGACTTGCCCAAGGTCACACAGCAAATTGATTGCAGAGGTGGAACTAGATCCCAGACTCCCATTTCCCAGCCCAGAGCATTCTCCCTTTTACCTGCATGGGGAGGGCAAATGCAAGAAGGAACGTGCGTGTCTGTGTGTCTGTGTGTCTGTGTGTGTGTGTGTTGGGGCAGGGATGAGGAGTCTGCTCCAGGACGGGGCAGTAAGGAAGGACGGCAGGGCAAAGTTGCCCTGGGAGGTCAGACTCTTCCTTCCCCCCAGCACTCACCCAAATCAAGCTACTCTGAAAGGCTCCAAATTTCATGGGGTTGGCTGAGTGTCTTATACTGGGGCTGGGAACAGCTTCAATTCAGGCAAATACCACCCTTTCCTCTGCCCTGGAAAGGGAGAGGGAGACTGTTAATACATACACACAGGGTGCAGCTGAGACCTCAGATCAGCAGGAGCAGGCCTCTGGTGCCTGCAGTTAGAAAGTTAAAGGAGAAGCTGGGAGGGTGATTTGCATATAATTTGTATGCGGCTCCAGTGATACATGTCCAGCAGCCTGAGACCTTCTCAGAGGAGCTTTCCTTCTGCAAGACGTGTGCTTCTTTGCACAGACTACCAGGCAGACTGGCCCCTGCCTCCTTGTCCAGCCTTGTCTCCAACCCTTGTGCTGTATTCACAACTGATTTACTTTCCCTTACCTCTTCACCTTTGCATGCAGTTCCCTCCTGCCTGGCTCACTCCTAATCCTGTGTCCATTTCAAATGTCAAGCTCTATGAGCTGCCTCCCCCAACAGCATCCCACACTGGTCAGGCTGTGGAGGGGCCCTGCCTCTGGGCAACAAAAGCACTAATTCCCTCTCTTGTCATGATTTGGTTCCTAGTCTGCCACCCTCTGGAGACTGTGAGCTCCTTGAGAACAGGCATTATGTTGTCTTCGTCATCACTGTTCCTCTTCTACAAAGTGAGGATAATAGTTGTACCTGCCTCACTGAGTGATTGTGAGATCAAATGAGAATGCATATCAGGCACTTAGCCCAGTGCCTGAAACTTTGAAAGAAGCTCAGTAAGTGCTCCCCACCATGATAACCATCATTATTAAACACTCTACCTCCTGCCAGGCATGAAATCCAACATATAGTAGGTACTCAATTAATGTTAGATATGTGGATACGTGAATGAATGAATGAATGAATGAATGAATGAATGATATAACTTATTTCTGACTCTTTCTGGGACTTCCCAGAAAGTTATCTTACAACATTCAATTAGAAATATGTGTTCTCTAAGGACAGACATTATTTCTCCCCCATCAGTCCCATTCCTGAAGGGAGGAGCACATGCTCCCATTGGAAAGAGTTTTCCATGATCCCTGATGCCAGCAGTCATTGGCTTTTTCTTTCATGCTGTCTGCCTCAGTTTCTTTCTTTTAAAATGGTTCTGACCAATCAAACCAGCCAAACCCTTCCAAAATCTTCAGGGAATTCTCCATCACTTGTAAGACAAAACTCAATCTCCTTAGCATGATGAGCTGAACATGCTCAGTCTTGGGATGTCTCACCTCTCTGTTGGGGAAAACCTCCCCTCCTGTATTCCATGTGGTCCTGATGATACTGTTTAATCTCTGCGCCCCTCACACTTACCTCCAGGAGCCGCCAGACAACCTGGCTGGATCAAACATAGCATTGTGAGTCCAAAGCCAAGTGATAGGTCTAAGCAGGAGTAAGTGACCTAAGCTGAGCCAATCACTCCTCCTATAAGATTTGATATAAGGACTCCGGGGCTCTGGGAGGGTGCTTCTCCTTTTGGGTCAGAAGATCAGCGCATAGGTTTCACTGCCAGCAGCCAGCCTTCCTGCCATGTGGAGAGAGCTGTTGGACATCAGTGCCCACCCACAGGAAAAAAAAAAACACCCTAAGGAGACAAAGCTTAGTAACAGTGTCAAGTCCTCTGGCTCTGCCTGAAACTGGAACCCTTAGACTTCCCAGACATTCCAAAGATATTCCCCTTTTTGTTTAAGGTAGGTTGAATTGAATTTCTGCTAGTTTGAGTTTAGCTTCACAAACAGCAGAGCCACAGGGGAGAAGGATCCTGGATTTCTGAGATCACAGAGGAGCCGTATCATCCTGAACTGCCTGCACAGACTTTCATGTGAAAAGGAAATAAACTTCAGTCTTGGTTAAGCCACTCTCATGGAATTTTCTTTGGTGGTGGGGGAGTCTGTTACTCACAACTAAACATAACCTTAATTAATACAGGGAATATAGGGAGGGATGGGGCAGTGTCCCATAGACACAAAGGACTGGTCTGGGATTGTCAGCCTGGAGAATTAAGGGCTCAGGGTTGACACAGCCTCCATCTTCAAATCTCTACAGGGATGACCTGGAGCAGAGAGAGACCAAGGCAAAAGGGAGCCTGAAATTTGTAAAGAGACTGGACTTCTGTGACTCTATGGAAGGAAAAGGGTCCAACAGGGCTGTCCCTTAGAGATGCAATAGTCTACTTTAATGGTAGTGAGCTCCCCATCACTGGAAATGCATGAGTAGAGGGTAGATAATCACTGGGCAGGAGTCGTAGTGGCATCTAGGTGCAGCAGAAAGAGTACAGGTCTTAGAGCTAGGTTTAAGCTATGTTCTCACCACTTATTAGTCTGAGACTGATATTCTCTCTAAGCCTCTGTTTCCTCATTTGTAAAGTATCCTGATAGCTGTGCTGGAGACAGAGACCAAGAAAATGTCCTGGCGCCACTTCACAGGGGCTCCTGAGGCCCATGCTCTATTTGGAGCCAACTATGAGTCAGGACGCCTTGGTGAGATTCTTCGCTCTCCTCTCCAACCTTGACATTTTTGAGGATGCCTGATCCAACCTGCCAGGAGACTTCACCTCCCCTGCCCCACCCCCACCTGTTTGTTTATGAGATTGGAGAGGTACGTGTGAGCAGTGCATCCTCTATTCTGGACGGCCTGGATCCAGGATCAGGGCTCTTAACTACTGCGCTCTGTTTATAATTCCAAATGTGGGCAATTGCCTTTCACAGCAAGAATAATCATCGTGTTTCTGCACAGCCCTGCCTTGCCCAGGCTGCTGCTCATCTCAGCCTAGGTTAGCCCCAAATGGTGCCACCTGCCACGTGAGCTGACATCACAGATCTGGGCTGACCCTGGGGTTCCCAGGCTACAGAGGAACTTGCTTTCAGCCAGGAGTTTGGCTCCGCCATCATCTCATGCCTCTCACAAGGGGCTCTGCTTGATCTTCCCTCCTCCACATCCTCCCACAAAGCTGGGCTACTTAGATTTGGGGGATTCAAGGCAATAAAGTAGGAAATCTGAGGCCAGAGAGGAGCAGATCTTAGAACATGATTCTATGATCAGAAGAAAGGAGTCCTGACTGGGGCCCAGAATGAAGAGGGCAGGGGAGTGGAGATGGCAGCATCTGGCAGGAGGCCTGGAGGCTGGAACAGTGGAGGTCCAAAAAGCCAGTTCCCTCCAGCTGCCACCAATGCCCAGGATTTGGGGGCAGAAGGGAGAAGGAGTCATCACCCTGGGTGGATTGACAGCCAGAGCACAGACCCCACCCAGGGTGGAGGTGGCAAGTGCCCAGAAGCCAAAAGCCTCTGTGGGAAAGCCACTGGGGAGAGGGGCAGTGAGGCTTGAAAAGGTGAAATTCTGACCACAGTCACCAAGTGACAGAAATAAAAAAGGACAGCTGCCAAGAGAGCCAGTGTGACCACACAGGGAGGTTGGTGTCTTGATAAGGGCTGTATGGAAATGCACTTCTAGGGATTGTTCCTGCAGATATACCTGCACACATGACATGTGCACAGGTCTCATTGCAGCTGGTCTGGGAACGTCCAAAGGTGGACAACAATGGAACTGTCCATCAGTAGGGAGCTGACTAAGCAGATAAAGGCACATCTACATAAGGGAATAGTACGCTATGTAAAATAGAATAAAAAAGTTCTTCATTTATTGATTTGGAAAGAGTTCCAAGATACATTGTGGAGTGAAAAAAGTCAAGATACGAAACAGTGTAAACATTATGCTTCCAACTGTGTTTTTTTAAAGGAGGAAATAATGTATATATGTTTTGTTTTGTATATGCAAGAAAAAGACCGAGAAGGATGAATAGAAACTAATAACTGATTCCCTGTTGGGTCAAATGGGGAACAAAAGAGGAAAAGACTTTCCACTGAATACTTTTTTATACTTTCAAAGCCAAGTAAATGTATTTCCTATTTAACAAATAAATAGTTTAAAAGAAATAATGGAATCATCCCAATAAATAAGACTGCGTCTGCAGAACCGAAGAGTAATAAAAACCATCACTATGTGCTGAGCACTTTCTCAGGGCTCCAGCCTGAAAATACGGGTGGTGGCTGTAATGTTGAAGGCAGGATGTGACAGTCTGACCTGGTGGGTGGCTGTGAGTGTTGGCCTGCCACCCTCAGGCAGGGCAATAGGCAGTCTGGAAGCTTGGACCCCAGACTTCCTTTCTACCTTGCCCTCCTTCTTCTCTTCTGTTCCCATCCCCCTGTCTTTGCCTCCTCTCTTGGTCCCACCTAAATTGCTTTGGAAGTTGTCCAACTTTTTCAGTCTGTCAGTCTGGACAGGAATTAGGATATAGGAAAAGGGATTCCAGAGGAACTAGAGCAGCAGGCCCTCCCCTCCCTTCCTTCAAAACCCAAACCAGAGCTCACCTCCTCCAGGAAGCCTTTCTTGTGAAATCCATCAAGCCCCAGCCCCCTCACAACTCAGGGAGACCATCTGATGCCCAAGGTGGGGCCTGTGTCTCCCTGAAGCAGGGTCCAGGCCTCTTGTTTCTAATTCTCCTCCACCCTCTAAACCCTAAGTCCAGCCTCCGGATCAGGGGTGACTCAGGCCAAAGCCAGGTATGCCCATCTCTGGCCAGGCTGCCCAGTGCAGGAGAGAGTGGACAGAGAAGACACAGGCCCTGTCCTGGGAAGCCCCCAGCCAGGTAGGGCAGAATATCCTTGCCAACTGTCACAGTGTTATGATCAGTCACAAAGGCCATCCCAGGCAGAGCACATTCTCCCTGTTTCAGAGGAGCCTGAGGCCGAGCTCAGGGTTTAGACCCAAACTGGTGAGTGACCAAGGTGACCTAATAGCTCCCTCATCTTGTCAGCATTCTGCACTCTGTATTGTCACCTGCCAATATTTGACTCTTCTGAGCAGGGCAGTGTCTAATTCACCTCTGAGTCCTCAGCTGGGATGGGGCACACAATCAGGGAGTTTGCAGAGACTTGAGAATTGCTTTGAAGGACAGAGAAAGGAAAGGCCTTTCCTAAGTGTGTGACCGGGGTCTAGATCCCAGGTTTCCTGACCCCGGCATTGCACGCTTTCTTCTGTTTTCCTCTTACAGAGTAGATCAGTTCTCTGCACCAAAGAGTGTCCACCCTACCCCCATTCCAAGCCCCTCTGTAGTAGGTTAGCTACCAAGGGCTGCCAAGAAGAATGGGGGAGGATGGAAGATCTGGGAGGGCTTCCCAGGGGAGGTAGGAACTGCAGCCAGTTTTCCTCTTCTGAAATAAATAATTGGGCTCCCCATGAGCAAGTGCCTTTCAGCTGTCAGAAGCCACCCCCCAGCCCAAAATAGCATCCAAATGTATCCTGGCTTGTTTCCACGGATTTCCTGCTCAAATCAGGTGCATACAAGGTGGCCAATAGGTGGCGCTTTTGTCTCCGCAAAATTAATAAGAAGGGGGAGGAGACAGGAGTTTAGGGAGAGGGGAGAGAAGTGGGGAGCATCCAAGAGGGAGGAAGTGGAAAACTGAAAAAAAAAAAGGAAAGCTGGAACCTGTCACTTGGCTTGGAAAAGTAGTTTTCAAGATCAGGACTATGGGTGTGAGTTGGGGGGACACAGATGTTAGGGTAAGCTGAGGAATTTTATTGGTGTCTGAGGCTTTCCATCCATGCTTCCACCTCCACTGGCCTCTTTTCTCAGAGGAAGAGAATGACTCTGGAGTCAGGCAAACCTGGAGTCTGGTTCTGAGTCAGTCACTTTGCAGCTTGACCTGGTTAAGTCACTTAACCTTTATGAGCCCCAATTCCATCATCTATAAAGTGGAGCTAATAATTCTAATAATGTGATCCTGCATTCCAGGAATAAACTGTACTTGCAAGATGGTGCATTTTTGTAATACAGTACTGGCTTCAGTTTGCCGATATTTCGTGAGGAACTCTGCATCTTCTTTCGTATGTGAGAATGGCTATATTTCACATGTTCATCCCTTCTTTATCAGTTTTTGATAACATAATTAAGTAGATAAGATTGGGATGACTTCCTTTTTTTATGTGTTCTGGAACAATTTTTATGACTAGAAAAATAGTTTCCTTGATGGTTTGACAGAATTCACAGGTAATACGGGCTAGCCTAGGTGCTTCCTAGTGGGAGCAATGGAGGAATGGTCTCTGACAGTGTTTTCTGTTTCTTTTGTACTAAGAGGTCTATTGAGATTAGTTACTCCTTAAATTAGTCAAGCCAGATCAGGATGTCTGCCAGCCAAATGCCCAGCCCTAAACTTTCAAGGTGTGCATGAGCCTGTGATTAAGTGGGAAAGTTTGCAACCTCCATGTGAATAGGAGGGTTTTAGCCAATGGCTGATTGTTTCTTTATCTTTGCATATCTACTTTTCTCCACCACTGCTTCCACCAAGCCACCATCCTTTCCTATCTGGATACTGGTCACCACCCCACCCCAGAGCCCCTCTAACAGCATATTTGGGGCTATGAAATTTCCTCTGAGCACAAGTTTGACTGCATTCTATGGATGTTAATATGTACTGGTCTCACCTTTATTAATTTTAAATAGTCTATAATTTTAATTTCCCTCTAACCTAAGAGTTAAGGTTTTAAATTTTCAAGTAGGTAATTAAAGTGTGGGCCAAGAACATGTTCTTATACATGTGTGACTTTTTGAACACTTTTGAATGTGTGTTTTCATTTCAATAATAATCTTAATAATCTTAAATTTCATATAAGCATATTCCAGATCACTTAGATAACCTCCTGTTATCACAAGTATCAGAGACCTGATATATAGAGTCTTCATTTGCGTTTATTAAGTAGTGTTTCTTTAATCTTGAGATAAGGCAAAAAATGAGGTAGCCTTTATAAATAAATGCTGTGTTTGGCCCTGTTGGTGGCATGGCCTGCTACATGAAGGAATGC